CTCATAGCCTATATAGGTTGGCAACATTATCGAATAAATTTACATAGACTTCTGTAAAGCCTTTGATTCAGTGGTACACGACAAACTACTCCTAAAACTAAAAACTTATGGTATCTCTGGACAACTGCATAACTGGATAAAAGCATTCCTGTCAAACAGACAACAAATGGTCAAAATTGGGAGCGTCCTATCAAATTCTGTACCTGTCAATAGTGGTGTCCCCCAAGGCAGTGTTCTAGGACCAACTTTCTTCATACTCTACATAAATGACCTCTGTGATCATACTAAGAGCAACTGCGTTCTCTTAGCTGATGATGTAAAGCTGTTCAATACCACAGACAATACCGCTACCGTTCAAAAAGACCTTGACTATGTATCAGAATGGTCAAACAAATGGCAACTTCAAATCTCAACAAATAAATGCTCTGACTTACATATTGGCAAAAAAGAAATCAGAAAATAAAATACAGGCTGAATAGTCAAGACCTTGATGAGGATCCAAACTTTGTCAAGGATCTTGGAGTACTCATCTCTAATGATCTAAGTGCTAGAGCCCACTGTAACTACATAGCCAAAAAGGCATTAAGAGTTGTTAACCTAATCCTACGTAGCTTTTTCTCTGGTAATATCACACTACTAACTAGAGCATACAAAACATTTGCTAGACCAATACTCAAAAACAGCTCATCAGTCTGGAACCCACATTACATATCTGATATTAGCACAGTTGAGAAAGTCCAGAAATATTTCACAAGAAGAGTTCTCCACTCCTCTACTCGTTGCAGAATACCTTATGCCACCAGACTTGAAATTCTAGACCTAGAAAACCTTGAATTACGCCGTCTTCGGTCTGATTTAAGCATGGTATATAAAATCATACATTGCAATGACTTACCTGTCAATGAATACTTCAGCTTCAACCATAACAGTACAAGAGTAAACAATAGATACAAACTCAAGGTTAACCGCACCAAACTTGATTGCAGGAAATAGGATTTCCGCAACAGAGTGGTCAACGTCTGGAATACTCTACCTGACTCTGTGGTTTCTTCCCCAAACCCCCAAAACTTTAACCTTAGACTGTCTACTATTGACCTCACCCCTTTCCTAAGAGGATTGTAGGGGACGTGCACAAGCGCACCAACGTGTCTACCATCCCTGTCTTGTTGTTTCTTTTATTTTTCTTATATGTACCCATTTCATGTATTCATAACTATGTATATACTTATACCTATTATCTTGTAAGCGATTGACAAATCAAATCAAATCAATAAATAAATAAAGTATACACAGCTAAAAGAATCGGCCTGGGGCAGGAAGATGTAAATCTTAGTTAGATTACATGATTGGAGTTTTACAAGGTAATTAGAGCACTAAGAACAAAAACTTTTGCCTGTATAAGACGGAGAGGACATCTTTCTGTATTTTGAAGAATTTTTCTCTCAGGTCTCTTGTTCTGGGCTAGGAATTTTTAGAAATTCTTACCCAGCTCTTGTAACTTGGATCAAATAGAAAGTCTGCTTTCTTTGATTTGCAAGCCTCCGTTTTAAGTCTTCGTTTTGGTTTATTTTTGGCTTATAAGCGAGATGCCAGACCTTACATAATTAAAATTAAAATACTAAAATAAAAGCCAAGAATAGCCATTCTTCATAGAGATGAAGCCGAAAGAAAGTGGATTTTTTTTTTCTCCGTTGAGAGAACATTCAACTCAATTCAAGCAATTTGAACCTCTCCCCCCCCCCCCCAAACAAAACCCTCCACCCCCAACTGAAGAGAGAAGGCGGGTATTTCGTTCATTCACACAATAATCACCCCCCCAAAAACCCTTCAAGGAAAAGCCCCCTTTGCCCTCCGTGGGGCGTGGCTCCCCCCCCCCCCCTTTGCCCCCAGGCTCCCCCCCCCCCCCCCCCACCCCCCTGGGCCCCCCCGGCCCCGGGGGGGGACCCGGGGGTACCGGCCCCCCGGGGGCCCGGGGGAGGGGCGGGGCCCCGCCTGCCCGGAGCGGGGCCGAGGAGCAGCCTTGCCG